TAGAAGCCCAATAATTTAGGAGCCAGATGCATTTTTAAGCCTTCAGGGTTTTGAATTTTAATAACTACATTATTTAATGATTGCTCCCACAAATCCTTCACACATTTTTATTAAAGCTATGACAAAAGTGTTGTAGCATATAAGTAACTACAGTGCTAACCCTGGTTGTCACCTCCACAACAAAAATTTAACCTCTAACCCTAGCCAAACTTCTCCCTAATATTGCATAATTCCATTATTGCTTTAAAAAGCTCCATATAATTGAATATTGGATCTAGTACAGAAAGGAACTGCTTAAGTAATGAATACATGAATACACTACCATTGAATTTTAACGTTATGTTCACATATAAACAAGCAATGATAAGAACATCATGCACATTTATTTTTATGCCACATAACAATATATTCTGATGTGAAATGATAACTAAGTTACTGAGAACTGCTGAGAGACATTACAATAAAATAACTGCTGAAACTACTAGGCCCCAAAATGAAATTTCTATGTGCCATGGTGACCCAGGATTTGTCAAGCCCTGACTTAAAGAAATACAATTACAGCAACACAATTGCTAAAACACCAAGAGGAAGGGAGTTTGCTTTTTTGTTAGGTACATAACCACCCTGTGAACAAGAATATAGTACCACAGTATATCGACTGACAGAATGAGCATGCTGACAGTGTAATGCCTCTTATTAGCACCAACTAAAATGTCACAAAGTAGCAAGCATGTTAAGTTCTTCTCACTAAAGCCACAGGTAGCAACAGGTCTCTTAAATTAAGATTCCCCTCAAGGCTTGCCCAAGTTCCTCTCAAACCTTTGACCAGAGCTTGGTCAGTATGTGCATATATGATTTAACTAGGGTTGCCAAGTCTATCTTCGCCGGGAGCGGGGGGCTCCTGGCCGGCGTCTTGTGCGTGTGCGCGAAATGGGGGGTGACGGGAGGACGCCAGGCAAGCTGGGGGCGGGGCCACGGCCATACAAGGGAAAACCATAGAGTTTTCCCTTGTATGGCCATGGCCCCGCCCCCAGCGTGCCTGCGTCACTTCCGGGTGACGTGCGTGCGGCGCGCCGGGGAACGGGCCTCGATCCGGCAGCGCCGGGGAATGGACCTCTGGGGCGAGGGTTTCCCCACCCCCGGGGGGACTTGGGAGCCCTAGATTTAACTTATGTTGCAGTCACATCTGCCAGATGAAGCGGAGGGGAAGCGAGGTTATTTCCTCCAGAGGAATTTGACCCACAGTTGCGTGATCACACAGTCCTTGGAAACTGATCAGATGCAACTGCGGGTGAGTTGGGTTTTGTTTTGTTTTTTGCTGTTTGTTTCCGATGTGCTTAAATGAGGAATCAATGAATCACATCTCTGCACTGAGGGCTCTCGATGGAGTTTGCGATGATGCGCGTACTGAGAAGGGGGGGGAAACAACGGCACGGAGTCAGGATGGCCTGATCAGATCATTCCAATGCCATGAGAGCATGCTGGAGTGATCAGACACAGGAAAGTCCGTCCGTGGCCCGTCGCAACCCATTTACTACTGGATTTCCCCCAGTGTCTTTTAACTCTTCTTCTGTGGCGGAGAACGGGTTGCCAACGGCTGCGGGGCATCCCAGACATTGTTGTCTGATCGCACCCTTTAAATCAGCCCAGCATTCGCATCTATGGCGGGTCTAATTGTTCATATGATTGCAGCCATAGACACAGAAACAATTTTCCACCAACACTTTGTTTGAAAGAAAAAAAACACACTCACGGATCAAGCATATTCTTTCATGATCTTGTTGGCTGTCTGCAACTGTGATTTCACAGGCAAAAATCACCTTGGTATGTTTTAGGTTTTCTACACCCATTACTTATTGCCACATCAGAACTGAGGTTCTTTATCCTATTTTGAACAGCAAATGCCATTTCCTGGGGGCTTCACAGTGTAGATTCTCTACACCAGCAATCTATAGAAAATAAGAATTTTATTTCCTATTACTCTTAAGGTATGTGATTGCATTCTATATCTGAGTTCAGAATTTGGCAGGTTTCAAGTATACAGTACGCAGAGTACAAATCTGATATGAGATGCCAAGTGATAGAGTCTACTTGGCCACTTAGTAATTGAGTATGAAACCACAATCCACTTATGGAATCAATACACTAAAACTATCTGGGACACCCACCAGAAACTTTCAAAAGTAACTATGCAGCCCATGGCCCAGGTGATCCCAAGTTCAGAGGAGGAAAAGAAGTTCAAAGCAAATAGCTGCCCAGTTGGCTGAAGCACCTGAACATCTGCACCAAGCTCCTCTCATGGTACAGACCATTTTGCAAAACTGCCATGAAGATAAGTTCCTGAAGAATCAAAGTAGAATGCCAACCTCTGGGGCATATCTTGCACTTCAAAGGTGCTCAATCTCTCAAGTTACCGTGGTTCTGGAAGCCATTCACACTATCTTCATGCAGCCCCATTTCAACCAGCAATGGACCAGCCCTGACTGAGGACCTTAATGAGGTGCTGATGCTGTCACCAGGTCACTATTATTCATCCACAATGCATCTCCTGGGATAAGCAGAAAAGGCTGATGCAAGAATTCCCAGTGATATGTGATGGAGAGGGGTGCCATTTGCTTCTCTCACACTCCTGGCCTGTCAGCACAACCATTAGGAATACTGGTTTACAGAAAGTAATAATTCTTCCCTCCCACACGTACAAACTGCTTCAGACTGAATCCTGGCATAAAGCTTTGTCCCATGAGGGCATTAAACAATCCATTCAGCTGTTTTGCTCCCATTGCTTCACCTCCCAACCATTTAAGTAATGGCTGTTACTGTTTTTAACTAAAGAAAATCCAATATAAACCCTAGATTTACATAACACTGTGGTGGTGACACAAGCTGGCAGCAGACTTGAAATGTAAAGTGGAGGCTGCCAGAGCCATTCAATCATCCCATGCCAAAGTTCTCCATTTTGATTTGGCTTGGCAGAAGAATTTGACAAGCTGCCTGTGAGATTTAGAAAACCTAAATGCTGAGAATTCTTACACACCTTGGAAGCCTGAAAACAAGGAATGGTCCAATCTGTATCACGTCAATGCAGCCTTCCTATTTCTATCAGAAGTTTCAACAGCCTTTGCAGCTAATCTCTCTGGGCAAACTGCAGAGTTGCATTAATTCTGTCAGCCTCACTAGGATGAAAATGCCGCTAACAGGAAGGGGAGACTGATGCACAAACCTTAAAATGCCCATATGGTCTAGGATTTGGCCTACTGCAAGGACAGGGACTCAGTGGAGTCTTCTTTTTTAACTTTTTATGCAAATATCTAATTCATGTTCTTTAGACTCTCCCATTATCAGCATAACTAATACCATTGTAATTTAAATGCACTGTCTCATGCAGAACATTCATTTACATGATGTGAAAACAGATGTTCTAGTGAAATGGCACCATTTTTCAGAGTATTATTCTAAGAATGCTTTATGGTACAAGACACTGCTACCTGTACCCAATGCCATTGTCTGAAATCTTACATTCTCTGTGAAATATTCTGACTATCCATGAGCAAAGTATGTTATGTAAATTATGTCCTTTCTGAAATGTAGTATTGTTTCCAAGTATCCTACTTATCTTAGTCTCCAAGATGATATACCCACAGGTTTCAGAAATATTATTTTTGGCATGAAGGTTTCATAACACCCTTTGGCTCACTTTACTTGTAAGGCAGATACATCAGAATGGATTTTCTTTTTTAAAATTATTATTAATTATAACACATAAAATATATTATAACAACTGTTCCATCTATTCTGTAAAGAATAGAAGTCTAAAATTTCTTTGGACACCAACAAAGTTTAACAAAAACAATTCTGGATTAAACTCTACCACATATTGAATGTCCCTAGAAGGAATGTCCCTGACCATAGACTGATGCCTTTGTACCCTTTTACACTTCCACCACAAATGGGTATAGTCAGTGTTTTTTTCTCTACAATGGCAACATTCATTATATACTGTTTTATAAATCTTTGAAATTCTAACAGTGGTAAGAGGCCACTGATGCAACATCTTAATTGCATTCTCATGTAAAATAAAACTAACTGAAAAGATTAGACCAGCTGAAAAGCAGAAATTCCTAGCCTGCATGCTCAGCCTTATGCCATTTCTTTAAAAAAGATTGGCCTGAGCCCAAATCAATAGGGTTGCCAGGTCCCCCGGGGGCGGGAATTTTCCCACCGAAGGGCCCCCAACCCACCAGTCCGATTCCAGCCGGTGGGGGGAACCCCACCCCCAAAGTGGCCAGATCGGGCTGACATGCCCGGCATGATATGCCCGGCATGATGATGTCACCCGGAAGTGATGTCATCACGCTGGGCAAGTTGCTGGGCATGTTGCTGGGCGACACTCTAGCAACCAGCCTGAAAACTCTATGTTACCATAGAGTTTTTAGGCTGATTGCTAGAGCGTTGCCCGGCGATGTGCCCAGTGTGATGACGTTACGTGATTGCGGCGTGACACTGTGCGCGTGCGCAAAAGAACTCCCAACCAGGTTCAGGACTCCCCCGGTATTAAGATGGTAAGACTTGGCAACACTACATAATACATATTATTTTATAAAATCTGGAAAGTGAATATTTATACTTACTTTCCGAAACAAAGAACAATTCAAAAGAATCAAATTCTCTTTCCAATTCACATTGCCTATTTTCTCGCAGATATTAAATTCTTAATCTGATAGAACTGGAAAATTGGGATTCCTCCATTACTGCACTAACGAACTGTAGAGTACTGTATGGTTAAACTGTTCTTTACCAAATCACAATACTTATCCAGATCAGACATCAGAACGGATTTTCCAAACATATGAAAAAGGGGCATTGTGATATTAGTTCCACATTCCAAATACTGTAATCACACATCACACGAATGACTATGGTGCCTTCTCATATATTTGTACCTTTCTAGGACTGTTGTCCTACAGAAAACAAGCTTGTAGGATACTCTACCGACAGCCTACCTTGTCCTTTGACTCCAAAGGGAGGCACGAAGTCCCGAATACGTGCCCACTTTCTGAAGGAATCATCCAAGAACATAGGTGCTGGCCTGGAGAACCTAAAAAACAAAATGAAACATAATCTTCAAACAAAGAGGGGAGGGAGAGAAAACTTATATATGAAGTAGAGCTTCACTAGCCATGTGCAAACTGTAAAACCATATCGTTGAAGAACCAGTAATGGCACCAGAAAAAATAGACAAACTGAAGAATGGAAAACCTTGTGGATCTGCTAAGTTCAGGCCTACTCCTACAAAGGGCACAGAAAGTTATGCTATATACACAGCTCAGAGTTCATGATGATACTAGTCAATCAGTAACAACACAAAGACCAAAAGAGTCCAGTAAGTACACAGCTCAGAACCGATGATCTTCATGAATACAACTTTGCACTATAACTTCTAGGACACCATGGCTGTCTCTCAAGTTAAGTTTGGAAATAAAGTAGCAGAACAAAAAACATGTAAAACGGTGTACCAAGACAAAGACAAGACAAGTTTCAAGGCAATGTAAAGTGGCTGAAAAACTCGGAGCATTACTATCAATCAGCGACAGCCTTCTTTGAAGTTGTACTGTATTTAGGGTAGCTGAAAATGAGACACACCACACTAACGGTCACTTTGAGAGCAGAGCACTTTCAAACAAATTCAGTGTGGACAAGCCAGCTAATTACTAAAAACTGGTAAAGTGGAGCAGAGTCACTGTTCATGTTAAGATTTTTCTTTGTAAAATTATGCTGTATATTCTACACAGCATGATTTTAATTGTATTTTACTTGAAACAGTTTTTATATCCTATGTTAACTTATTAAAAGGATACAGAATGCAATAGAAGACTGGCCAAAGCCAAATATGTACACACTGGATCTATACTGCTTTCAAACAATGCGTAGTCTCTAAATTCAGATTTCTAAAACACACATATACAATGTATTTACTTTGGCAACATAACCAACTCCACCTGTTTCAGGCTCAACCACACTCATAATTAAACTGACACCAATCAAGTCAGGCAAGAGGGCAAGAGATTTAACAGTAAAATGGCTCATGAGAAATAAGCAAACCATGACAAGTACCCATCAACCGCATATTTACTTCTGACATGACAGATACTACACATATGAAGTGCAGGCAGAAAAAGCTAATTTTGAGATAAGCTGTTACCAGACTATATATTTAGGTTCTGGTAGGCTTCCCAGGCTCCTGGTCAAGGTGGGGGATTCCCCCACTTTTGGGGGCTCCGGCACACCACTGGCCAGCTGGCTGGCAGGGAACCCCGCCCCAAAACAGATGTCCCCACATGATGGTGGTGACGTCCTGATGTCACTTCCAGAAATGATGTCATCATGGCAACAAGGGTACCACTCTACTTTTGGGGCAAAACTCTATGGTTTGTAGGCATTTTTACCAGAGAGTTTTGCCACAAAACTAGAGCATCACCCCAACATCGCCAACCTGATGACATCACTTCTGGAAGTGACGTCAGCACATCGCTGATGTCTCTGCCCACCCCTGGAATGTCCCCCAAGCCCCCCTGCCAGCAACTCTAGGTCCTGGTCATACCTTTCAAAGTAAGAGATTTTGTCAGATGCCCTCTCATGATTGTTGTTAGTAATGAATTTTTGAGAACCATCTCTGTCTGTCTATTTTTGTAACATAAGTTTAAGTGGCTCTGAGCAAGTACCTAAAATCCTTCATCCTTTTTTCCTCCTCTGAACAGTAATGGAAGAAAATGCCTTGCAAAGTCAGCTGTCAAACAGATGCCTGGCTTCAGAAGCAAGGGCCAAAAAGCACATGAAAATAAAATCAGAGTGGTGCCTTTTTCACTATGGAAACGTGTCTCTATTTACAGAACGTCCTCCTTTCTGTATGCTCTGGAAAGCTGTTGGAAGCAGCACATTTAGGATATTTATGACAAGAAGCAATTACTTTGACTGAATTTAATATACTACTCACACATATTCAAACCTTTACTGGAGAAAAGGAAGGGGGGCAGTGATCTGATCTGATGAAGTCCAAAGTAATTTATTAGGTATTTTGCCTTACAACTGAATTTATTCCACTTTGGATAATGTCAAAAGGGTTCTTTCCAAAGCTTGTTTTTTCAGAGAAGTATAGCTACAAAGGAGAAATGTCCTTCAGACCCAAGCCTGACCCACAAGCTATTTCTGTTAAGTCTTTCATGTGAGAGCCAGCTCTCCCTGCCAAATGCCAGAGGAACACAGCCTTTGTGGACCCAGGATCATGAATAAGAAAAGTCCTTGACTACTCAGTCAGTCATACAATTGGATGCAACTACATGCCATTTAACTTGCAATCACACAATCTGACTGTCCATTTTTTCATAACATGCATTAGTGTGTGAAAAGTTGCTGCCATCCAATATTAGCCTGTCATAATGTAGATGCTTTTTAACATGTACCTAAAGCCACTTGAGTAGTCATCTGAAAATGTAGGCTGAGTTGTCACCAATATGTGGATGACATTCAGCTCTACCTCATGCTTCCAGCAAATGCCAGGGAGGCAGTGTGAACTGTGAACAGGTGCCCGGAGGCAGTTTTAGGATGGATGAGGGCTAACAAGTGGAAACTTAAAAACCTCAACAAAACAGAGGTGCTAGTCATGGAGGAGAAAGTCTGACCCAGGAATTGGGATATTTCCTGTCCTGGATGGGGTAGTCTCTCTCTAAAAGAGCAGGTTCGTAGCTTGAGGGTTCTGCTGGACCTGGGCCTCCTGTTGGATATACAAGTGGCAGTGGTGACCAGAGGTGCCTTTCAGCTGGTGAGCCAGCTGCAGCCCTTCTTGGACAGAAAAGATCTTAGGTAGTGGTGCATGCCTTGGTAATATTTACATTAGATTACTGAAACGCAATTTGTGTGGGGTTGCCCTTGAAGACTGTCTGAAAGCTACATCTGGAGCAGAATGCTACACCTAGAATGTTGAATGGAGTGGATCTTAGGGACCATATTAGGTCAGGCTTTTCCATCATTTTCCAACATTGGCTCCCAATGTTCTTCTGGACCAAATATAAGTTCCTGATAGTAACCTTTAAAGCCCTACATGGCTTTGGGTGAGCATATCTTAAGGATCGTCTACTCCCATATGAACCTTCCTGTCCACTCTGGTCCAATGTTCCCTCTAAGCTGTGGAGTCTTGAGAGCAAAAATTCTACTTTGTGAGCCACTGGCATTAAAGTTGTGAGCAAGTGATTTAGCTGCTGCATAAATTAGTTTGCTTGGAGCCCTCCTTCCCGAGCTAAGACAAAAATGTGTGAGCCGGAGGCTAAAAAACTGTGAGCTAGCTCACACTGACTCAGCTTAGAGGGAACAGTGCTCTGGTCATCTTTAGAGGTCCTGCTTCAGGTACTCCCTCCATCTGAGTCTAGATGAGTAGCAATCCGAGGAAGGGTCTTCTCAGTCATGGCACCAAAACTTTGGAATTCCCTCCCCAGGGAGATTCATCTGCCTTCCTCTATCTTCATCTTCTGCTAGCAAGTAAAGACTTTTTGTTTTGTTTGTCATTCCCCCACTAACTGTTATTGGCCCTTCTCCCTGATTGTGTTGTTATATGTGTTTATATGTTTGATTGAATTATTTAAATGTTTTATGTAAACTTTAAATGCTGTTTTAATTTCTTGATGTTTTAATGTTAAAATGTTTTGATGTTCATCACTTTGGGTTCCTTCAGAAATGAGCAAAAGGTTTTTTCCTCATACATGCCAACAAGTAGTAACATTTTTATTACATATAAAGAAATTAATTTAAGCAGAAAAGTATTTCTCATGACCTTATATTATGTACTGCAATCACAGAAAAGCAGATGAGAGGCAGAATTTGAACTATGTTGGGTTAAACAATTCCTAGCCATTACTAAATGGCCATCTTTTGTATTTAATATATTACTATGAAAGTAGTTGAACAAAATTACTGGGGAGAAGGGTGAGCAGGTGTCAGCCCTCAAGTCAGTCTGTTCATTCAAGGTTTCTAAAGTAGATAGAAGCTGAAGTCCTGTAATTTCAGGGTACTTGAAAATATGATCAAAGTAAGCAAAATCTGATGGTGTTCATTGCTTTCAACTTTCAAAGCTCTTGGTAGAAAAATTACATTCAGTCTGCATATCAAGAACTTTTTTTTAAAGTTCCCATTGCCAAAGATGTGTGTGTGTTCTAAGTGTGCAAAATACGAGGCCAAAGAGGTGTAACCCTATGACCTCTGTCCTATTGTCTGAGATACAGATGTCCTGGAAGGGGTTATCTAGTGCTTAGGAAAGCTGTCACTGGCTGCAGACTTAGTACCCTAAGATGCACTATGGCATTGAGGTGTGTTTGAAAGCAGCTGTGTTTTCATTCTTAGAATGCCAATGAATGCCTACTCCTCCCTCAGCACTCCCTTGGCACTGTCCATTTCTAGGACTTATGCCAGTGGAGCTTCATTGATGGCAGGACTATAAAGCTGTGGCTCCAACACAGTACTATGCTGTCATACTTCCAGATACACTCGCATGTCTTTGAGTTATGTCAGCATAGGGTTTAGTTGGCATCCCAAGCAGCTGACCAGCTAGCTTAGACTTGTGCCATCACATACCAAAATAATAATTTAAAATTCAAGATGATTCAAGGGCTGAGAAGCAGCAAATACTTTAAATAACACCTCTGTAGTAAAAGAGAAAGAACAGCTTGTATGCATGCAAAAGGTATACATTTATAACCTTTTCAGATTGTTTTTAGCACAATAAAGGTGCATTTGTTGCCTCTTTGCTGGTTATACTGTTATGCAAACACATTTCCCCAGCACCAGATGCACTATATTTTGTATTCAAGGAGCAAAGCAGTTTTTCCACCAGACAGCACATATATTGCTATTGTTTTTTGCAATGTGGTTTCACAAAACATTACAGACATCTTGTAGACATGGCATTTGACACATACAAAGAGATATTCCCATGAATTTTAAGACTTCTGAATTTCTCTACCACCAGCAGGATAGGGCAATAAACTGTTTGTTTCTCTGTAACAGCGTGTCTGTCACAATCCTTGGATGAGGGAGATGAAAAGGCATCCA